CCCATATAATGTTTTATTTATAATACTCCATCTTTGATAATAAGTGAGATATTCGCGATTGTTGTTTTTGCAAAATTTTCAGTTTTTGCCGATAGGGCGAAAACAAAAGACGTTAGCTGTTCGGAGTTTTCGGCATTAACATTTTCTCGAAAAACGAGATCATGACATGTAAGCTACATTTTTTCTATCTCTTTTAGTTTCGGGGATAGCCTATGCGGACATCAAAATTGGGACACCCTGTACATAAAGGGATCCGTCAATGGATAAAACTAATTTAGCTTGTGCTTTCTTTATTCTATCAAGAAATTCAAGATTTAGGAAGTTTTCAAAAAGTTTTTTATAGCGAAAGTCCATTCGTCCTAGTTGGCTCTGTCCTTTAGCTTTGGAATGTTGCTAAAGAAATTTAGTACCGCTATTTTTATTTTAACCTTACTTGTTTCTTCTGGAGTTTATTCTTCGATATGGTCCTGGACCCACAACCTGCTGATCTTGCTTAATTATTTAATCAAAGAAACTCATAAACAAAGGTTTTTCTAATCGTTTTTTAACTTTTTTCTGCAAACGGCAACAACAACATATATTTTTTGACAACTATTTTAACTACTAATTTCTTGTAGTGCATAAACTATCACCTCGGCTTAAAGCCAATACATTCGTATTAAAAAAAAGCTGTATTGGCTTCTTTTAAAACCAAATAAAATCCACTGCCTTAGCAGCAAAGCTCAGAATAACGACTTTTATTTTTAGTACCTCGTGAGCTTCGCTGCCTCGATNTCATCGTCATAAAAAAGATCTAGACAAAAATTGAACGGGGGTGGTTATGTTTAGTAACTTAGAAGGGAAGATTGAAAGTACAAATAGGCTCGAAACATGCCCTATTACAAGCTAAACATATTTCCCAAATTTCATTTTCTTGGTGTTAATGGTTTTCGGGAAAAAAAAATAAACCAACATTTTTGGCAGTGAAAGCCTTCGTACTTATTTTATTCTTCGATATTCATAAATAAGTCACTCACAGGCAATTCAATATGGTCCTGGACCCACAACCTGCTGATCTTGCTTAATTATTTAATCAAAAAAACTCATAAACAAAGGTTTTTCTAATCGTTTTTTACTTTTTTCTGCAAACGGCAACAATAACATATATTTTTTGACAACTATTTTAACTTTCTTTTAACTACTAATTTCTTGTAGTCCATAAACTACCGCCTCGGCTTAAAGCCAATACATTCGTATTAAGAAAAGGCTCTTTTATAATCAAATAAAATCCACTGCCTTAGCAGCAAAGCTGCCTTGGCTTCAGAATAACGACTTTTATTTTTAGTACCTCGTGAGCTTCGCTGCCTCGATTTAAAGCGTACACATTCTGACATTTATTTTAAAGTTGTAGTTGATATAAACGATTAATATCACATTTATGATCAACATTACATTTATATTTTTTATATCTACAGAATTGGTTTGGAGAAGTGGTGACGGACGATAACAAAGAATACTTAATCAAAAATCGTAATCATAAATTACCAGTAAACACACCATACCCTTTAAAATTTTACATCAAATATAATCCAAACGGGCCAATTCCTCGATTGGTGTCGTTTCGATTGAACGCAAAAACGGTTTGTCCGGAAGGAGGTGTCACGACGACGCCACCAACAACTTCCGGTCAATTAATAACGAGCAGTTCATTATCAAGCACTGCATCGCCCAATCGACCACCACAACCAATAAATCGACCATCATCCCCATCAAATCCTCCTGTTGGGTTTATAGAAAGACCACAAGTGATTCAAGGGTAATTATATCATAAACATTTTAATAATAACATTTCATAACATTTTTTTTTATAGAGGATTAGACCAAAGCGATGATTTCTTTCCGGGCGATTTCAATTACAAACCCGATTTTTTAGACGGTAACGTCGAATGCGGAACGATCGCCGTAAGTAAAAAATTTCTATTCGTACATCCAAATTTTCCTTTGTGAATGTGTGTGTGTATTAGAATCGGTTTAAAAGGCAAGTATATTATTTTGATGGAGACTCATCAATAGCTGGGGACGGATCCTCGGCCCAAATGAACCTGTACGACTACATTAACTACATCGTTAATAGTTTGGCGATACAAAATCAAAGACCTGCCCAATCACAGGTAAAAATCTAATTGAAAATAATTTTTTAACGTTTAAATTTGCATTTAATTTTTTTATATATTTTTTTTTCGTTTATTTTGGGTTTCAGGTGGCGGCCCAACCTTTGATAGTGTATGGCCAAAAAACGAGTATTGGGCAATTTCCGTGGCACGCCGCTTTGTATCATTCGAGAGGGGTTGGTCTTCAATATGTTTGTGGGGGATCCTTAGTGTCTAGGTATCATGTAATTACCGCAGCTCATTGCGTGACGAGCATACGATCAGCACAAGCTCTTCGTCCGGATAATATGCTAATTTATTTAGGTGATTTTTAACTTTATATTATATAGATGTGTTATATATAATTTTTTAAATTTTATTAGGTAAATATTATTTGAATCGATGGGGAAGCCCCGGCGTTCAAAACCACGAAGTGGCGAAAATTATAAGACACCCCAAATACAACGGGAAAATGTATCAAAACGATGTGGCCGTTTTGAAAATGGCGAGCGCGGCCGAATTTACCGATTATGTCCGTCCGGTTTGCTTATGGGAAGGCGATCTCAACATCAATAGCGTGGTGGGGAATTTAGGTGAGATATCAACGTTTATTTAAATCAATAAGATTGTCAAAATGACGTTTACAACTCATAACCTCTTCGCATGCAATGACGTTTTTGGGAGATGTCATCCATTCTATGTGTCATTGTAGATTTTGACGTTTCCGAGACGTCATGAAATTCCTCATATACAGGGTGTCCCAGACCACCCGTACCAGCCAATTTATTCGGAAACGGTGAGTCCTAGAGAGTTGAAATAAAAAATTCGTCAACTAAAGCAGACACCCTCCTTCTAGATAGTGTGTTACGACCGACCAACAACATCCGGAAGTGGGTGCAATTGAGTAGTACTTTAATATTTTATATGTAAAGAGGGGTCAATTACGATATCATCGTAAAGAACTCTTCAATAGAAATCTCTTTCGCTTGAAAAAAATTTTTATATTGCTAATCGTTTTCGAAATAATAAACCCTAATTGTTGGTACTTTTTACCGGTGTTATTTAAGTTGACAAATAGATGTCGCTATTCGTCGTTTTGAAAAATCGTGTAATTTAGAAATGGCTGGTTAATAACAAGAAATTGTTTTTACTAACAAAATGAATAAAATAACAAGGAGTTTTTTTTACCACAGAAGAATATTACAAAACACTAAATAATAAAACTTAATAAATTAAAGTAAAAATACCAGTTCTTATTAAACAAATGAATAAAATAACTATGGAAAGGAATTATTTGGACGACAAAACGACACAAAACGCTCAATCTAATAAAAAATTAACAAAATCAAGATAATAAAGATTATAAATGTTCAAATTGTCTACCATTTTGAGCAACACATTTTTCAAGCCGGAGCCTTACACTATCTACCGCATTTAAAATTTCTCTTGCACTTAAATTCTGACACGCTTCTTGAATTCTGTTCTTCATTTCTTCCTTTGTTGTTGGTCGATGTTTATAAACTAAATTCTTAAGTCGACCCCAAAGATAGAAATCAAG